TTTTTTTTTTTTTTTTTTTTTTTTATTTGACGAAACACACATCCCGAATATATATACGAGTTTGCCACTACGACGTACGTGTGCATGTGTTTTTTCGTGTGTATCGTGTGACTGACTCCGTATGTGCGCACTCTTATGTATACTCGTGTGTATACTCGTATACACGTGTTTCTCTGTGTGAGCGGTGTGTGACGAACGACACCTCGGACGGCCTGCCTGCCTTGCGCGCGCGGAACCACCGAACTCTCTCGAGCTATTCGCTTCATCCACGAAAAAAACGCGAGAAGGTACGTCGTTAATTCATTAATATATAAAAAATACGTATGGGGGAATAGACGAGATTCTTCGTTGGTTGAGTCACCATATTTCTGGCGCCAGCGATCAGCTCGACGGTGAACGACACAACGACTCCCTCGTCTCTCTGCAAGCACCGACCTCTGTCCCTCCCGAAACCCATTTGCAATCGCGTAGCTCGCTCGGTTCGTGACTTGGCGCGTGTCAGTTACCACGTATTTCCCTTGTATTTCCATTTTCCATTGCTTCCCTCTCCCTCCCTCTCTCTTTCTCTCTCTTTCAATCTCTCATTCTCACTCCCATTCACTCGCTCTCTCATTTCTCTCTCATTCCCTCTGTGAAATCGAGCAGAGAATCAATGACAACAGATACAACAGAACGTGGCGCATTCGTCGACCGAGATGACGATCGGTGATGAAAATCGAAAAGAAGAAACAAGTTGCGCTATTGCGGAGGAGGTGTTGCAGTTTCTCTCTCTCTCTCTCTCTCTTTTGGGCGAGCTTGTGCGAATGCGTTGGGTCGCGTCGACGGAGAGAGGGTCGGGCCGAGGACCGCACAAGTGGAAACGGACCACACTGGTCGGACGAGGTCGCACGATCTATCGGTAATAAGAGTAAACGCGTTCAACGATCGACGTGCGTCAACGTGTCACACTCGTACACTCGCATACACGCATATACACGCGCACACAACACCCAACGTTCAACGACGAATCGAACTATATAGAAAGAGACACGGCGGGTCGAAAACGTGTGTATATATATATATAGATAGATATACATATATATATAAGTCGGTGTGTCGATCATCGTCGAGCTGATGACTAGCTGGCGACGCGTTCCGAGGCTGTGCGAAGCAATGGAACGAGGAAACGAAGCGAACCTTGAAACGAAAAGAAAGAGGCTAGTAAATGCACGATAAATGTCACGGGTAGTGTTGCTGGATCGGCTGGGTGCATCGGTGCGTCGCGACACTGGACGACGTCGTTGCGGCTGTTACTGCTGCTGCTGCTGCTGCGGCGGCTGCGGCTGCGGCGGCGTCGCTCTGTAACGCGTGACCGAAGCATCGCTGAAATCTCAGCGGTATTCCTGCTTGCTAGTAGGCGGCAGGATGGACGGTTAGTCACTGCGGCGGCAGGCCGGTCGGTGGTTTGAATTCGCCGGCGACGGACACCCCGTTCGCCTGGGCCGGGAACTGCGCCGTCGACACCGGGGGTTGGTGATTAAACGCGGGCGCGTAACATTGGGGGAAGTAGAGCTCCGGCTTGACCACGGTCGGCGTCAACCCTCTGGGGACGGGGACGGGGCCCAGGCCGGCCGGCGTGCCAGGCGGTTTCGAGTCGCTGCTCGAGTTCCTGCGCACCTTGGCCGCGTGCGGATTCATGTGGTTGTCGATGTGCTTCTTGACCTCGGGCTCGGTTGCGAAACGCCGCCTGCAGTTGGGCATCGGGCAGCAGAACGGCCGATCACCCTGGTGGGTGCGCGTGTGCTGGTCCAGTATCGCCTTCTGACGGAAATCCTTGCCGCACTGTTGACACTTGTACGGCTTCTCCCCCGTGTGGATGCGCAAATGTTGATTCAAGATGGTGCGCTGGCGGAAATTACGGCCGCAGTACACGCACCCGTACGGCTTTTCGTTCGTGTGGATGCGAAGGTGTTGGGTCAAGTGGGACTGTTGCCTGAACCTCTTGCCGCACTCGGGGCAGGGATACGGTCTCGACTCGATGTGTATGCACCCGTGCTGCAGCAACGTCGACTTTTGCTTGAACTCCTTCTGACAGATCGGACACCGAACGTACAACGGCATACCCGCGGAGCGGCCGTGCTGTATCACGTCCGGCAAACAGCTCTTGCTACCGCCTTGTTGCTTGATGTATTGGAGAGCGCCGAAGCTACCCGTGCCACCCGCGCCGAAAACCGCGTGATTCCCGCCCTTCGGGTCCTTGAAGTAGGCGGGATACTGGATCGAATTCGCGTCCGGCGCCGGGCTGAACGCGCCCGACTGCGTGTCCGTGTCGCCGAACGTCGATCCCACCTCCTCCTTCCCCTCCTCCTGCGGAAACGGAACGTCCTGGGGCCAGAGTGTCGGAGTCATCCCATTCTTGAAGATTAGATGCGGACTCACGTCTGTAACAGACACGAGAACCAAGTTTATCCTCCAGCTTCTCCTGCTAACCCCGTACGTCGGAGGAATCTTTTATTTTTTTTTATTTTTTTTTTTTTTTTTCTTTTTGTTAGAAGCCCGGAGAACACGGTACCACGCGACCACTGGAGAGACTAGACAGATATATATATATATTTATATATATATATATATATATCTACGCGAGTGCCCATGTGTTAAAAAAGAAACGGGGATCTCGATCGATGGATCGAGAATAGTAGTAGTAGTAGTAGTAGTAGTAGTAGTAGTAGTAGTAGTAGTAGTAGTAGTGGTAGTAGTAGTAGTAGTACGGTAGTAGCACGGCGCCAAAGCGTGCAACCCTCGAACCCGCGCAAATTAAAAGAACAACTTTTCCCTTTTCTTCCTTCGATCGAGTCGCGAAAGTTAGCATCAAGCATCGCGATCACCCACGTGCTCCGTTTGATCGATCGACGATTCGACGGATCGATTCTCGGGTCCTAGGTCCACCTCCTCCACCTCCTTCGCGAAAAGACGCATTCTCTTTTTTTCTTTTTTTCTCTTTTCTTTTCTTTTCTTTTCTTTTCTTTTCTTTTTTTTTTCTACAGCAGGGAGTTTTCCAGCCAAAGAGATAGTTAGATGGTGTTATATTAAACAGATGCGAGATTAGAGAGGTTCTGTTGTTGTTATTATTATTATTATTATTATTATTGTTATTATTATTATATTTATTATTATTATTATTGTTATTATTATTATTGTTATTATTATATTTATTATTATTATTATTATTATTATTATTATTCCATACTTGTTAAAATTCCGTCGTGGTCAATTTCGAAGAGAGAGCGAACTTGCAGAGGGCAGAAGAATTATGTATATATAAAATATATATATATACACGCGGATTAGATTAGGCGGTCGTAGGATGCGGGGGAGTAGACTTGTTAGGGGGGAGGGGGAGGGGAGAGGCTCCTCTATCTCACAGCTCACCAGCACTCTCGCGTCCAGCTCAACCGTTCTGATTCTTCGGTTGGCCTTTGGCGGCAACGAGGCCGATTCGTTTCGATCGATTTTACTCGACGAAATTCACGACCAGGAAAACTGCGAAACGAGCAAACGTACGCGATCGCGTTTGTCCGCTGGGAACCGACACATGGGGGAGAGGGAGAGTGGAAGAGGGGAAGGAGGGAAGGGGTAAGCGGTGGAGAAACCAGATGGATCGAATAACGCCAAACGAATGGGGAGGGGGGGAGGGAAAAAAAATAAACATACAAAGGTGACTGGGTTAGTTAAGAGAGAAATGGCGATCGAACGAACGTGGAAAAGAGAATGGTTTTAATAATAATAATGGAGAAGAACGAACGAACGAACGACGAGATGAGAAGAGTTGGTGAGATGGTATGGCGGCGTATATGATATGCTACAGCATCGTTAAAAATTATATATAGATAATATATATATATATATATGTATATATATATTCATATGCGTATATAAGTATTGATATAAAGACGAAGAACTGTGAAGAAGAAGAGATGAAGAGACGATGGTGGCGGCGGTGGTGGTGGCGGTGGTGATAGTAACATTAAGAACCGGTGAATGGGTCAGTGTGGTTGTGGTGGACGCCCTCTGGGAGTCTGGGAGGCAGAGAGAAATGCTCGCCTTGGTGTGTGCGGACGTGCTGATTCAGGATCGCCTTCTGACGGAAGTGTTTTCCGCACTCCGGACATTGGTATGGCTTCTCACCCGAGTGGATGCGCAGATGCTGGTTGAGGATGGCACGCTGCCGGAACGTACGCTCGCAGTACACGCAAGCATACGGCTTCTCGTTCGCGTGTATGCGCAGGTGCTGCGTTAGATGCGATTGTTGCCTGAACCGCTTCCCGCACTCTGGACACCCGTATGGCCGACTGTCCGTATGGATCCGCTCGTGTTGCAACAACGTCGACTTCTGCTTAAAATCTTTCCCGCACGTCAAACACTTGAACAAACGTAGGTCGCTGTTCGCCCCTTTCCCAGACTTGCCGCTCTGCTGGACTATGTCCGGCAACCCGGTCGCCATGTTCGGTGCCCCGGGGCTCGCGTATTGGTGCGCGTCCAGGCTGGGTCCACCGTCCCCCTGCCCGAGGGACGTCAGCATCACGCCCGGCTGCTTCAGATAGTGTAACGCGGAGAAACCACCCGGGGTCAGCATGTGCGGTGGCACCGACGGCGACGGATGCGGCCTGGCATCCTTGAAGTAGTGCTGCGGATACTGCTGCAGCTCTCCCGCCCCGGGGAAACAATCCGCGCGATCCACCTCGTGGGGGGTTAATTGTTGTTGGGGCGAGTGGTCCTGCTGTTGCGTCTGTTGTTGTTGTTGCTGCTGCTGTTGTTGTTGCTGCTGCTGCTGTTGAACTTGCTGCTGCTGTTGCTGCTGCTGCTGCTGTTGTTGTTGTTGCTGCTGCTGCTGCTGCTGCTGTTGCACTTGTTGTTGCGTCTGCTGCTGCTGCTGTTGTTGTTGTTGCTGCTGTTGCTGCTGCTGTTGAGAGGTGGCTTGATTCGATTGTATATCGTCGTCGGGTGGGGTTAAGGCTTGAGGCTCAGGCGGTGCCGAGGGGTACGGTGAGGGCACGGGAGAGGCCAACGAAGGCGGGGGACCGCTTTCTCCCTCGACAGGGGGACCACAGGCCTGCTGTGGGCTGCCGGACGAGGAGGAGCCCTGCTGTTGCTGTTGTTGCTGTTGCTGCGGGTACAGTCCCCCGTCCTGGAGAGATCCCGGCCCGGGGCCCCATTGCCCCTGGGGTCTCTCCATGTTGTCCTTGTATAATACGTAGGGCGCGCCAGTATCTGGAATCAGACAAGTCGAACGAACCTTTATCGATGCGTGCTCGTGAAAAGTAACAAGCGTCCGTTTTTACTTTTGCGTGCTCGTTGTGCTCGGTAACGGGAGATCGTTCTCAAGGGGGAGGGGGCAGAGAAGAAGGGGCGGAGGAACGGGGGAAGGGGAGGGGGGAGGGAAGAGTAATTAAAAACACTTACTTCGCCTCCCTAATTTACACACGATTTATAAAATACGCGTTGTACAGATACGCGTATATACAAGTATCTTGGAAATCACTTCCTAAAACGAACATTTCTCTCCGCTCTACACACACTCTCTCTTTCTCTCTCTCTCTCTCTCTCTCTCTCTCTCTCTCCGCTCTAGGAGCGAGGGAGGAGGAGGAGGAGGAGGAGCAGGAGGAGAAGGTGGGGGAAAACGTAATGGCAAAAAAGGCGTACGCGTAATCCTATTAATTTTTCAGCGTTAACGAGCCGGTATATTAGATCAGTAACGGAAGCGTGGTCATATTCTTAACACGTACGGCGCGAGCCCGGTTACAAGCAACGAATGTGTGGTATTCGATTCGTCACGCTCGTAAAATTTCAGCCCGAGACGCGATCGTTCTATAGCGCCCAGGCAAAGTGGGAACGTTACACCCTTCCCTGGCCCGACTCTAATTAAGAATCGTTCGACGTTTCCACGAATTGGAATATATATATATATATATATATATGTTGTACACGCTCGCGGATTTTGGATTTTGATCGATCAAAAGGGATAGGGACGATAAAAGAATCGTTTCTTCGTTTCTTCGTTCGAAAACAACAACAACAACAACAACAACAACAACAACTTGCAGAAGGAATCATGGAGATATCGAATCAGGAATTGTGTACACGCGCTTTCTAACACGACGAATCGACCACGTTCCCGGTCACGCATGGCCAGATACGTCCGGTTCGAGCTTCGCAAGTTCAACGGCTGTTATGCAGGTCGGATGCACGTCCGCGCGAATGATTTATGAAGTGTTCCACTGTATCTGCGATGTCGAATCTCCCTGCCCTTCTCTGCGCGTTAAAAAAACTTCGCTCCGTCCCCGATGCATCTCTCTCTCCCTCTCTCCCTCTCTCTCTCTCTCTCTCTCCATTCCATTGTTTCGTGTCTCGTCTCGTCCGCCACCTTGGACGTCGCTATATTTTCGATTATATTGGAAAAATAAAAGCGTATCGATGGCGAGGGATGGAAGTTGAAACGACGAAGGAAAGGAAAGGAAAGTTTGGACGAAGGGGGAAAAGATCCTGAGTTCTATCGTTCTTCCAAGAAGAGGAGAAGGAAGAGGAGAAAAGGAAAAAATGGAAAGGAGAGGGAAAAAGAAGGAGAAAAAAGAAAATCGAAAGCGGACGAGCTACAAAGTATCCATTGAATTATCCAAATCCCATCGTCGATGGAAAAAGAATTTCTCTCTCTCTCTCTCTTTTGAGAAATGGAATAAACGAAGATACAGCGATCATATAAGGATAAGAGTATACAAGAACTACTTTCTCTCTCGTGGAAAAGAGAGGCGGAGAGTTTGTAATCGTGGTGTGCGCCCTCCGTAAATGGCGGGCGACACGCGTCCGCTGCAATCACCGCTATCACGTACAGTCGTATTACGAAGGAAAGGAGGAAAACAAGGACGGGTACCGCGGCGCGCATCTCTCCGTGATTATGGAATTCGCATTATGCAACGTTACACAAAGTGTGTTCCGTTTTATCGGATTAATTACCTCGCTCTTTATTCCATTCTTTCGTTTATCCAACGCGGGGCGGCCGTGCTAACGCAGCCCGTTTCCACCATACGCGGATATACTACTCGCACGCCTCTTTCAGCCCGTCTTTTGTTTTTGCGTCGAGGATGACGCATCGACGGATTATCTTCGCCGCTCGGGTCCGTTTATTAATATCGAGCCACGCTTTCTTGCGTGTACGCTCTCCCTCCCTCTCTCTCTCTCCCTCCCTTTCTTTCTTTCCTCCTCCATTTTACATTTTTTACTTTATTCCTCTTCTTTCCTTCTTTTTCTACTTTTCCTTCTCCCTCGCCTCCTCCCTCTCCCCTCCTCCCTCCTCCCCCGACCCCACACGATCGAAGAGAGAGAGAAAGACGGTGCACGCGTAGCACACGAGCTACTAGCAGCTTTTGTTGCTCGTTGACGGACGATACGTTTCAACGGCGGTGTGACAAGTGTTATTGAACTTCGGAAAGCAGGGAGGGAAAAGGATACGGCGTGGACCGTATGGGCGGCGGTGGACGCCGACCGCGGCCGTTAATTGTCGTCGCAATAACCGAATCGAAGGATTCCGGGGCGAGGTGATCTTCAGGCGGGCGGAGGAAAGGAAAGATGGACTCGAGATCGAAACGCCTTTTAAAGAGGCGTTCTCGAACGTGGGGAAACGTTAGTTATCGAGGCGATCCGAATAAACGTTTATCGGGAATCAATTCTCCAATTCGAGCTTATTTGTACTCGTCGAAATCTCTACTTGCCGAAAAATCCGAAAATCCCGAGTGAAGATACATACACGTTTAAGAGAGATTTATTTAACGAAGAAACGTTTCAAATATTCGGCTGTGTTGTATTTTATCGAACGTTTCCAAGTCGTCTAATCGACGACTATTAACGTCGAATCGGTACAACCGATTCCCCGACTTCAATTAATTCGAATCGTACTAGCAACCTTCCTTTCTCTGTTTCTCCGTATCTATATACACGTGTGTGTATATATATATACATATATATGTGTGTGTGTGTATCTGGAAACGTTGCTTTTTTCCCCAGGCGCAAATGAAAGGAACGAGTTCGCCGCTGTTCATCACGCTCGATTGTTATATATGTCTTCTGATACGGCTGCTTGGCGGTTGATGTACGCCAGCGATCACGGAATCTCCTGTTCGAGGATCGATCTGATTTTGACGTAATTGTAAATTGCCCGACCGGATCGGGATACGAATATCAAAGATGCGCGACCTTTTTTTTTTTTTCTTTTTTTTTTTTTTTTTTAACAGATCGTCGTATATACATTTTCTTCGATCATTCGGCGTGAAAACGAATGAAACGTTACGAGGAAAGAAAAGAGATTCGAGTGAAATGAATCGTTACGACTCTCGGTAGGGAGAAACAAAAAACGGGCGATCGTTGCTCTGTTGTAACCGCTATAATCGCGGTTTTGCTAGATTTAATGGGCCATTCGTCGGTGAACGTTATTATATTATACCGAGAACGTAATCTTCCACACCTCTCACTTCCTCGGCCACCTTTCCACACGAAAAAAAAAAAACGATCGTTCCTCTGAAACGTTAGCGAAACGCCAATTTAATCCTTCCGTTTGAAACCTCGTCAAATATTCACGTCCCCGCCAGAACGGCGCCCCCTCCTCCCCATTCTCGCGCAGATTTATCTCGTCAACGAAATCCCATCGTTTCGCCATATTTCCACCAAATTCGCTCTCCGTCTCGGGACGAAACGAAAAAAGGAAGAGAAAAAGAAAGAAAAATAAAAGGAAGAGGAAGAAAGAAAGAAAGAAAGAAAGAAAGAAAGAAAGAAGAACGTTCGAACGGGACGATCGAGAAGAGATTCGCGGGGCGAGAAACGATCCAAACGATCCTACGATTCATTTTTTCCCCTTCGCTCCTTCTCCATCTTTTTTTCACTTCCTTATCGCGCCACGTCAGGATTGATCGCCTGCATCTACATAACATTATCGTTTATTTATTCCGCCGGCTGTTACTGAAACGGTCTCCCGTATCATTAATTACGTTAATGAGTTTGCACGAATATACACGCGAACGTGTGCACGTATGTATATTTATATACACGTATAAATATACACACACATATGTACATATATATTTATACCGGCGTTTCGTAATCAATAAACGTGTCGCGCGATTCGGATCGAGAAGACGAAGGAAAAGATGGAACTCGGTCGAAAAAGAACGATCGATAAAGAAAGAAAAAAAAAAAAAGAAAAAAAAAAAAGTTTCCCTTTTTCGTTCGTTCGCGAAATCCACGAACGAACGATTCGAATTACAACACTTTCGTGACGTAATGTCTTTCTTTTTTTTTTTTTTTTTTTTTTCAAACGCGTTCCTTGAACGAGCAAATGGGAAAGTTTACGAGAGAGAAAGAAAGAAAGAGAGAGAGAGAGAAGGGGAAATGTTGTATCTCGTCGTGTATTGCGTCGTGGTCGAGTTCATAAAAAGATTACACGATTCGGGGGCCGTTCCTCGAAATATCGAATATCTCTTAATCCGATCTCTTAATCCCCGTCTTTTAGAGAAGGGGACGAAGTGTGTATTTTTATCGGAACGCCCGTCTTCGATAGCCATGACTTTGAATTCTTTATCTCGAGTCCACGTTTGCATAATCCGTTCCATATCTCGACGCTGCCCACGACGGTGTACCGTGAAAAGCCTCCGTGAAAGCGTGCACGCGCGAGTGAAAAAAATATCACTCCGCGAAGAAAGATCGGAAATGTATCGTTAGAAAAAAATTCCAATTCGATCGAACTTCCTTCGCGACCGTTCCCGGATCTCCCACTTCTCATTCTCACCCGAGACACTCTCCGCCGAGCGGAACGGTTTAACGGTGGAAACAGGTTCCCCCGTTTTGCATTTTTCCCGAATTTTCAGATAAGAGCGTGCCGGCCTTAAGATAAGAGCGGTCCGCCGTGCTCGAGCACGGCGACATTGGCGGAGTGAACGGAGGGCCGGTGCAATTTCAAACGCGAGAGAGAGAGAGAGAGAGAGACACGGCTTCCGCCACGCTCTTGCCGCGCGGTGGCCGCCTCGTCGAAGGTTGATGTATACAGATTTCGCGGTGAAGGTCGGTTTACGATATCCGGTATCCGAGGCTCTCGGTATTCCACCTATCCGTGCTTTCTCTTGCAGAGAGCGCCTTCCTCCTCGCGATACATCAGACTGCGCAAAAATAATTGGCCAAGATCAAGGCGGAAAGTAGTCACGACGAATTCATCCGGTTGTTTTTCTTTC